GAATAGATGTATTATATTAAATATTATATTATTATAATATTATATATAATATATTAATTTTATATTATATTAATTATTGTATAGTATAACATGCTAATATAATATAATATAATAGTTTTTTAATAATATATAGGTGCAATAACCAACCCAAATCGAGGAATAGATGTATTATATTAAATATTTATTAAATATTATATTATATATAATATATTAATTTTATATTATATTAATTATTGTATAGTATAGCATGCTAATATAATATAATATAATAGTTTTTTAATAATATATAGGTGCAATAACCAACCCAAATCCTCTCTCAAAAATAGGATTTCACAAATTCTAAAATATAATAGTTTTTTATAATTTAGGGATTCAATATCCCAAATTTGGTTTTGAAACAAACATTGTTTATGGAATTCTACAACCCTCAAAACTTATAATCCACCTTATCTCCCCAAAAAAAGTTGAAACAAAAGGGAAGATTTCACAAATCCTAAAAATATATATATTTTTTATAATTTAGGGATTCAATATCCCAAAATTAATTTTGAAACAAACAAAGTTTATGGAATCCCAAAACTAAAAAAAAAACACTTTTTACATCCCAAAACTTGAAATCCACCCTATATCCAAAAAAAAGAAAAGAAACAAACACCCCCCAAAGCAATTTCTCATGGGGCAGATATCGGGCATTCATGTTTCCGGGTCCGTACGCGGCTCCATGTCTATCTTTTTGGATTCATAATCGGGTTATCACAAACGCGATTGGAATCCGACCCATTAACAGCCCAATCGGCACGTGCGAAAGCTTGTCACTCGAGTACCCTCTCTCTCTCTCTCTCGTTCGACTTCACCTACCCCACCACGCACTCCCCATCCCCGCCTGCCTTCCCTACAAACAAACGATGACGCAGCCACCAACCTCGGGAAAATCCACCAACGCCGCACAAATTCATCTTCATGCATGCATCGTCCGCCTCTCTCGAAACCCTTAACCCTAATCCATAGGCCTCTTCTCTCTCCCTCCCTCTCTCCCTCGCATCCATCCCCTCTCGTCCGCTCCTCTTCTCGATTCCTCCGCCTCCCTCCGCCTCGCCCGCCCCCCCTTTCCCCTCCGCTGCCGCCGGATGCGCTCTCTGAGCATCGGATCCACTCGCCTTTCTCGATCCGATAAGACTCCTCCCCGTCGGATCTTCGCAAGTTCTACTCCCGTAATGGACCCGGCTTCGAAGGGGTTAGGTTCCGATTCTAGGGTTTCGACGGTCGTCGATGTCGACCTTGGGAACCGGAGCTATCCTATCTATATTGGATCTGGTTTGCTGAACGAACCTGATCTTTTGCAGAGGTAGTTGAAATGAGAGGTTAGATTTTGATTTTGGACGATTTTTTGGTATGACTGTTTATTGACTTTTTATATTTTTTTGTCTGTTCTGTTTGTTTGTTTTATTTTTTTTGTAAAGGCATGTGGTTGGGAAGAGAGTTTTGGTGGTGACGAACACTACTGTTGCTCCCTTGTACCTTGAGAAGGTGACTGAAGCTTTGACTTTTGGGAATCCGAATGTTTCGGTTGAAAGTGTGATACTGCCTGATGGCGAGAGGTACAAAAACATGGTAAGATTCTTACAACCATATGTTGCTTGATTTATTTATGCATAATGCAAGAAAATGGGATTTTTTTGATTATTAGTGTCATGTTCATCCCTATAGGAAACACTAATGAAGGTATTCGATAAGGCTATAGAGACTAGGTTAGACCGCCGCTGTACCTTTGTGGCACTAGGTGGTGGAGTGATCGGTGATATGTGTGGATTCGCTGCAGCTTCATTTCTTAGAGGTGTTAGTTTCATTCAAATTCCAACAACGTTAATGGCCCAGGTATCTTCCTCTTTTCCCATCATTATTATTTTGAAAACATCAATAGTTCTTTATTCGAAGAGAAATGGGAGATGGAAAGTGTAAAATTAATTCCTTGCTTCAGGTGGATTCATCAGTTGGCGGGAAAACAGGAATAAATCATCCACTTGGAAAGAACTTAATTGGGGCTTTCTACCAGCCACAATGTGTACTTATAGATACCGACACTCTAAATACATTGCCTGACAGGGAGTTAGCATCAGGCATTGCAGAAGTCGTGAAGTACGGGTTGATTAGGGACGCGGAGTTCTTTGAGTGGCAAGAGAAGAATATTCAGGCACTACTGACAAGGTATTTCTTATGTGTCTATTTAATGTTTGGTGGCAGTGATACAGAATTGCAACTTTCTACTTTCTACTATCTGATGTTGGCTAGCCTTTGATTTCCTTGTATCTATCTGCAGTGATACACTGATATTTATAGTCATTTTCTTGTTATATAATATAGTCCCTGCATAACTTGTATCTTTCCTTTCCTGAACGCACATTTCTAAAAATGTATTGTAACTAAATTGTTAGTGGATTCACTTGGTTTGTGAAATCAATGATGGCACAATTCTATGAATAAAGATATAGGTCCTTCTAACTAAAGACGTCCACTGCCTATTTGAATTGGGATTAGGCCATCAAGATGGAAGCCTTCATATTTCCATGTGATTTTGAGGAAGAATATATGGGCATATGCAGGGTTTCCATTACATTCTAATTCTTCTGGGATGTGACTGAACACTTACAGCCTTTAGAATTTTCCGAAACTGTCGTATGTACGTTCTATCCACTGGGTTGGACTTAGTCCGGTAGGTTCTTTGAATACACAATCCATCTCTAGTGGAAAGTCGAGGAGTAAATCTCACATGATGACCAACATAGAATTGTTAAATTGATAAAACTTGTTTGAGCTGGGTGATCGAATGAATCAAACCTACACTAGTATACTACAGGTCTATCTGTTGCACCTAAGAATATAATATGGTGATTGATTATAGGCTTTTAGCTAGATCAATATACAGGATGATTGATTATAGGCTTATTGCTAGATTTTAACTTGGACGTGCTGAGATTGCTGAGAATTGGTTTCAAATGTTCATAGAAAGGGTTTAGTTGGGGTCCAATGTACTAACAATTGCTAAGTCCAACATAGGATATGAAATTGAACTCCTAATGGGTGTTATCATGCTTCTTATGCCTTAAATATGTACCTTTGCTTTCACATTATGCCTTAAATCTGTATCTTTGCTTTCACATTCTTTGCAAGATTTTTGAACCGCTGAGAACACTCCATACGTAGCATTAGATCATGTGTCCATCCCAAGCATTATGCGTGCAAGATTTACAACTCTTACAAGTGAAATTTAAGAAGCTAATAGTAACTGATTTAACAGGTATCTATCTGTTATAATTAATAAAATTCTTCCTTTCTCAATGCCAGTAATAGAGCTTATTGTTGATGAGTGG